GTTTCCTACATTCAAATCAGGGGATAAGTCCACTCCTTCAAATTACCGTCCAATAAGCCTGACATCTATAGTGGGCAAGTTATTAGAATCAATTAATGTCAGCTATATCAGAAGTCACCTTGAAGAGCATAACTTGATAAATGAATCTCAGCATGGATTCACGAGAGGTCGTTCCTGCCTGACAAACTTGCTGACGTTCTTCAATAGAACATTTGAGGCAGTTGACAGTGATAAGGAATATGATATTGTTTATTTGGATTTTAGTAAAGCCTTCGACAGAGTACCTCACAAGAGACTCTTAAGAAAAGTGGCAGCTCATGGTATAGGAGGTAAAGTTCTAGCATGGATTGAGGCATGGCTTACCAATAGAAAACAGAGAGTTACCATTAATGGAGTGAAATCTGAATGGGGATCAGTCACTAGTGGCATTCCACAAGGATCAGTTTTAGGCCCTCTCCTGTTCATAATTTACATTAATGACCTTGATGAAGGGATTACTAGTGACATGAGTAAGTTTGCTGATGATACAAAAATAGGCTGTATAATTCACTCTGAGGAGGATATCAATGAACTCCAGGACGATTTGAACAAATTAATGTCTTGGGGTCTGAAAAATGGCAGATGAAGTTTAATGTGGATAAGTGTAAGGTACTTGCCCTTGGTAATGAAAATAACCCTCGAAGCTATATCTAGGTGAAGTAGAGCTTGGTCATACAGAATGTGAAAAAGACTTGGGAGTCATGGTAAGCAGAAATCTAAAGCCAAGACAGCAGTGCCTTAGTGTGCGCAACAAGGCCAACAGATTACTTGGATTTATCTCAAGAAGTATAAGTAACAGAAGTCCAAAAGTTATTTTACAGCTCTATACATCACTAGTGAGGCCTCATTTAGATTATGCTGCTCAGTTTTGGTCCCCTTACTACAGGATGGACATAGACTCATTAGAGAACATACAGAGAAGAATGACTAAAATGATTTACTGTGTAAGGAACCTCCCGTATGAAGATAGACTTAAAGCCTTAAATCTCCACTCTCTGGAGAGGCGTAGAATGAGGGGAGATATCATTGAAGTGTATAAGTGGATGACGGGCATAAACAAAGGAGACATTAATAAAGTACTGAGGGTGTCGAACCAGGGAAGAACCAGGAATAATGGATTTAAGTTGGATAAATTTAGATTTAGAAAGGACATAGGTAAGTACTGGTTTTCTAACAGAGTTGTAGATGCATGGAACAGTCTTCCCAGTGGGGTGATAGAGGCTAGGACCTTGGGTAGCTTTAAGAAGAGACTGGACAAAAATATGAGTGGGAGGGGCTGGGTTTGATTGGTGTCATGGGGTACGGGAGTTATTTCTTGGGTAGCTTTAGGTAGATGTCGTTTTGATAAGGACCTGCCTCGTATGGGCCAGGAGGCCTTCTGCAGTGTTCCTACATTATGTTCTTATGTTCTGAAAAAGGGTGAGCGGTGCACTTAGGAGTCTGTGAAGACAAAGAACTTTGCCCTTGGAGGCAAAGAGGGGAATGTATGAGAGTACAGTTTTACCAACGCTCTTATATGGGTGTAAAGCATGGGTGAATGTTGCAGCGAGGAGAAGGCTGGAGGCAGTGGAGATGTCATGTCTGAGGGCAATGCGTGGTGTGAATATAATGCAGAGAATTCGTAGTTTGGAAGTTAGGAGGAGGTGCGGGACTCCCAAAAAAGTTGTCCAGGGGGCTGAGGAAGGGTTGTTGAGGTGGTTGGAATGTAGAGAGAATGGAGCGAAACAGAAGACTTCGGACGTAAGAGAAGGAGCAAAACAGTGATTTCAAAGTGTATCAGCTGTAGGGGAAGGAAGGGGGGGTGGGGGTCGGCCTGGAGGGTTTGGGGAGGGGGGGGGAAAAGGGGGTTTGTGTGGGGGGCTTAAACTTCCACGGGCATGCGTGAGCGGTTTGATAGGATGAAGGGGAGACAAATGGTTTTCAATACTTGACTTGCTTTGGAGGTGAGCAAAGTAACATTTAAAGGGATTCAGGAAACCCCGGCAGCCGGACTTATCCTGGAGAGGGAAAAATCAGTGTCTGCACCTGAAAGGAGGGGTGTTAAAGTTGCAGTTAAAAACTGTAGTGTAAAGACCCTTCTGGCAAGACAGGATGGAGTAAAAATGGAAAGGTTTTCTTTTTCGGGCCACCCTGCCTTCGTGGGAATCAGCCAGTGTGGTAATAATAAAAAAAAATAAAAGAAAAAAATGAACAGCTTGCAAATCCCCTACATCAGGGGTCTCCAAATTGCAGCTCGCAGCAATGTCAAATATTTATAAACAATAAAACTAATAAATCCTCATTTTCAGTTACTTATTCATTTAAATTTTATTCACTCATTTATATTCTTTTTTTTTTTCTTTTTTTTTTTCAACAAGTCGGCCGTCTCCCACCGAGGCAGGGTGACCCATAAAGAAAGAAAATCCCCAAAAAAGAAAAATACTTTCATCATCATTCACCACATTTGCACATTATCACTGTTTTTGCAGAGGTGCTCAGAATACACAGTTTAGAAGCATACACATGATGGACCCAAGATGGTTCCAATGGTTTCTCCATAGCACACGAGAAGCCAACCCACTGGTTCATAAGATACTGAGAAAGGGTGAAATCAATGTGATGGTCTGAGAGAAATGATGCAGTCAAATCTTTCATAATTTATCCTGTGCAGGAGACCTTCATTCAGGAGTAAGGATGAAATGAACACAGGTTTTACAACAAAAAATCTAACTGGAAAAACAAATGAATAATGTATACAAGTATGTTTCAACTATTGTAAATAAACTCACCAATTTCTTCGTGCGAAGAACCCTGGAAGTGGTGGGTGGTGGCACTAGCAAGTTGTCAGATTGGCTTACACCCAGAACAGCTTTCTGTCGATTCATTCTTACACCTTCAAAGAGGTTAATATACACTGTAGCATCTGGTATTTTTAATTTTGAAATAAAACAGTTCATTATTTTGAATTTGAGTCCTATTTTAAGGCACAATTTGACCAAATTCTTAGCTATTTTGCCAGTATGCCTTCTGTTCTACTGAGTGAGCACATGAAACCCTCCATTCAACTATCAGAACCCTATAAAGTGCACAAAATTAGGTAGAGTGGCCAATTTTACACAAATTTAAAGAATCCAGTTTAAAAGCAAAGTCCAAAATAAACACTCTAGGCATTCCAGCCACTAAATATATGTCTCAAGGCTTCTCCTATATTACATTTGCCCTCCATTTTGAATTCATCACAAACAAAGGTTTATCCTATTTCTCCAATAATAAAATATAACCAAGAATGATTGGTCATGGTTGAGGGCATCCCAATAATTGAAGCAGACCTAGTAGGGCTCCCAATAATTGAAGACCTGCAAGTTGGCCAAAAAGGGGAAGGACTTCCCCATTCTTAGGAAAATTGTCAAAAATCAAGCATTTCCACTACTTTCAGCCCAATTTCAAGCTACTGTGCTTCTGGTCCTCAACCCAACCAAAATCATCTCTATTTCAGTAGTATTCTTTGACTGTCAATTAATCACAAGAAACAGCCAATAAAATCATCCTAGAAAACACCTCGAAGTCGCTATTTTAAACCAAAGACAAGGTCAAAGGCTTGATTTTCTCCCATCATGTAATGGGGCAAGATTTTTTTTTTGTACCATGCACACTCACCACAGACCCATTCTCTTATGTCTAGGACAAAATATAATGTTCAAAGCATATTTGAGGGCACTGGCATCAATACTACAGATCTACGTAAAGACAGTGAAATGATTGAATAGTTTATTACAAACAATAATATATACTTTAATAAGTGTAAAAACGGTGCTAGAAAATTAAAAAAATGGTAATGAAAACTCACAAAACCTTGTAGTGGAAAGAGATAAGAAAAGAAAGAGAGATAGAAGAATTTCCAGAAAACATCAAAATAAGAGGAACAAACTGCCATAATTACAGTAATACAATTATGAAATTTCCATGAATGAATGGAACAGCTTTCATTAAATGATGGTAATGATGGTTATTCTCTACAAGTGCATACAAAATCTGTGTGCACCTGTGAAGAATAAGAAGGCCCTGGATGCCAGAAAAGTGGACATGTAGTAATAGTAACAATAGTAACTTTAGGAAGGTAATAAACAGTACAGGTATTACAAGGGATATACCATTCTGTGAACACTGCACAAGATGTATTTTGGTTATATTTATGAGGATAAGTGTGTGAACAGTAACGGATATGGTGCAAGTTTTAGAATAGAGATCAAGAATGATAATTACCATAGGATCTAAACTGTACAAGGTGAAGTTTATACTCTATTAGTCCATTATATAAATAAAGTAAGAGACTAGCATTCAGTAGGCAATCAGTAAGATGCAAGAAGACAGTGGAGAAATACACAGAGGTAACACCTATATCAGCACAAGGGTAACAGACCAGTGTAGAAGTGTGGTTACACAGGTCTTTCTGGTGGCTTCCACTATTTTTAGGAATACTTACTCAGATGGGAGGTCCTAGGAAAAATAAGGTTTCAGGAATGCAGTGGCGAAACAAGTGCCAAACCAGATAAGAAAATCTTTGATTTCAGTATGTCCTTGAATTAACATAACTGTTAATGTTTGCTGCAAATATCACTCAGTAACAAAAACACTTACTTCTAGTTCCAGCTGCAGGAGTAAGAAAGGCATCCCCAGTACAACCCAGCACTTTCGGTTTGCGGCCTCGCTTCTTAGCAGCAGACTGAAGTACATTATCAGCAGAGCTGATCACATCAGCAATACTGTTCCTTACTGATGAACTATTTTCTCCATTATTCTACGGAAAAAAAGCTAACAGATTGAGCTTGTAAGATATTTAATAGCTAGGAAGGATGTTTTTATACGGTCAAGAATCATGTCTTTTAATACAGGCATGAAATTTCAAGCCATTCAAATTGAATGATTTGGATTTTTTTAAGGGAAAAGATTTTTAAATACCATGTACAAATTTAAATACAGTACCATATCCAATTTCCACAGTCCATAATAAGGTATATTCATGAAAGAAAAAAAAAATACTAGAATTGGCCCAGCAAACAAAAAAAAAATGGGATCAAGAAAAACAATTGCAGTTAATAACAGAAAAAGATAATAAGAAAAATCAGTTGATAATTTAAATGCACAAGGTTTTAACATAAAAAAAATAAAGAAACTTATGCCTTAATAGCAGAGTATTTTGAGGTTAACAAGCCAACTGTTTATTACTGTACTTTAAGGAGAAGTAGATTAGAAAACGTTGTGGCACCCATGGTCAAAGCTGTGGTAAGGGGATCACAGGTATTCATAATAGTACTGTGCTTATGAAAACTCGCCTCTTTTTTAACAGAAGAGCACATGAAACAATAAAATAAGTCACTGACAGCTTTTATCATACACAAGAGCCAGAATGATAGAAGAGCCCCTTATTGTTGTATGGTTATAGTAGCAGTAGCAAATAGATAACCACTTCCATGAAAGACTGAGGTTAGACAGTCAAATAAGCTTCCTTGTAACTGAGAATAATAATACTGTATATTATGTAAATGAAGTCTATTTTCAATTTTAAATTTTCACAAAATTTACAGAAAGACAACCCTTAAGAGTAGTTCCCCCATTATTCAGGGTACTGCCTCTGGAAGACAAGCATCACAACCTAGGTGGGTCATGCCATCAACCCAGAGGACTAAAGAAAGACTGGAATGTAAGGGCGTGATCCTAGGACAATTGCTTGATAGATTACCAAGACGTAACATTAATACAACATACAAATATGCTTACTAACCTCTTTAATGTAATCTTCCACAACATGTTTTTCGTCTTTTCTGAATACCGTACAAGACCAGTCTTGTACAAACGGCAAATGGATTCTACACAGATGAAGTCTCCATTTCCATAAGTTCAACACGTTTTTGAACTGCAATTTAAATGTTTTACAACCAGAATTAGAGATCATTTAATGAGTTATTACAATTAATAGCATTACAGTGTTTCAAGCATAAATGAACCATACAGTACAGTACACAGATAAACTTAAGGTCACAAGAAAGTGACTGTCTCTTGTGAAAATTACCTTAAAATTTGCAGGAAAAGCAACATAAGCCTTGAACCAAGCTAAAGTGGTATAACACACTGTGCCCATGTCTGCTGGTTAAAGCTCTCGCATCACATAGCAAGGTCCAGGTTCGATTCCCGGAGAGGGTAGAAATATTGGGCGTGTTTTCTTTTACAACCGACTGTTATGTTTCCCATCAGTTAAATGGGAACCTGGGAGTTACTCGACAGGTGGTGGGTTGCATCCTGGGACAAAACTGACCTAATTTGCCCGAAATACTCTACATAACAAGCGGCTTTCTGTTAAATAGTATGTCATTGATGTCAGCTAGGCCTGTATACCTTGTATATGTACTTGTAGAAATAAAGATCTTTCTTTCTTTCATACACCAGCTGTATCCACCGAGGCAGGGGGGGCCCAAAAAGAAAAATGAAAGTTTCTCCTTTTATATTTAGTAATATATACAGGAGAACGGTTACTAGCCCCTTGCTCCTGGCATTTTAGCCGCTCTTATGACACGCATGGTTAGGAGGAAGAATTCTGTTCACTTCCCCATGGAGATAAGAGGAAATAAACAAGAACAAGAACTAGAAAGAAAATAGCAGAAAACCCAGAGGGGTATGTATATATATGCTTATACACGTATGTGTAGTGTGACCTAAGTGTAAGTAGAAGTAGCAAGACGTACCTGAAATCTTGCATGTTTATGAGACAGAAAAAAGGACACCAGTAATCCTACCATCATGTAAAACAATTACAGGCTTTCATTTTACACTCACTTGGCAGGACAGTAGTACCTCCCTGGGTGGTTGCTGTCTACCAACCTACTACCTAGTAGAAATAAAGATTTTTTTTTTTTTTCAACAAGTCGGCCGTCTCCCAACGAGGCAGGGTGACCCAAAAAAGAAAGAAAATCCCCAAAAAGAAAATACTTTCATCATCATTCAACACTTTCACCACACTCACACATTATCACTGTTTTTGCAGAGGTGCTCAGAATACAACAGTTTAAAGCATACACATATAAAGATACACAACATATCCCTCCAAACTGCCAATATCCCAAACCCCTCCTTTAAGGTGCAGGCATTGTACTTCCCATTTCCAGGACTCAAGTCCGACTATATGAAAATAACCGGTTTCCCTGAATCCCTTCACTAAATATTACCCTGCTCACACTCCAACAGATCGTCAGGTCCCAAGTACCATTCATCTCCATTCACTCCTATCTAACACGCTCACGCATGCTTGCTGGAAGTCCAAGCCCCTTGCCCACAAAACCTCCTTTACCCAATCTCTCCAACCCTTTCGAGGACGACCCCTACCCCGCCTTCCTTCCCCTATAGATTTATATGATTTCCATGTCATTCTACTTTGATCCATTCTCTCTAAATGACCAAACCACCTCAACAACCCCTCTTCTGCCCTCTGACTAATACTTTTATTAACTCAACACCTTTTCCTAATTTCCACACTCCGAATTTTCTGCATAATATTTACACCACACATTGCCCTCAAACAGGACATCTCCACTGCCTCCAACCGTCTCCTCGCTGCTGCATTTACCACCAAAGCTTCACATCCATATAAGAGTGTTGGTACTACTATACTTTCATACATTCCCTTCTTTGCCTCCATAGATAACGTTTTTTGACTCCACATATACCTCAACACACCACTCACCTTTTTTCCCTCATCAATTCTATGATTAACCTCATCCTTCATAAATCCATCCGCCGACACATCAACTCCTAAGTATCTGAAAACATTCACTTCTTCCATACTCCTCCTCCACAATTTGATATCCAATTTTTCTTTATCTAAATCATTTGATACCCTCATCACCTTACTCTTTTCTATGTTCACTTTCAACTTTCTACCTTTACACACATTCCCAAACTCATCCACTAACCTTTGCAATTTTTCTTTAGAATCTCCCATACGCACAGTATCATCAGCAAAAAGTAACTGTGTCAATTCCCATTTTGAATTTGATTCCTCAAAATTTAATCCCACCCCTCTCCCAAACACCCTAGCATTTACTTCCTTTACAACCCCATCTATAAATATATTAAACAACCATTGTGACATTACACATCCCTGTCTAAGACCTACTTTTACCAGGAAGTAGTCTCCCTCTCTTCTACACACCCTAACCTGAGCCTCACTATCCTCATAAAAACTCTTTACAGCATTTAATAACTTACCACCTATTCCATATACTTGCAACATCTGCCACATTGCTCCTCTATCCACTCTATCATATGCCTTTTCTAAATCCATAAATGCAATAAAAACTTCCCTACCTTTATCTAAATACTGTTCATATATATGCTTCAATGTAAACACTTGATCTACACATCCCCTACCCACTCTGAAACCTCCTTGCTCATCCGCAATCCTACATTTCTGTCTTACCTCTAAGTCTTTCAATTATAACCCTACTGTACACTTTTCCTGGTATACTCAGTAAACTTATTCCTCTATAATTTTTACAGTCTCCTTTTGTCCCCTTTCCCTTTATATAAAGGGACTATACATATCTCCTGCCAATCCCTAGGTACCTTCCCCTCATTCATACATTTATTAAACAAAAGTACCAACCCACTCCAACACTATATCCCCCCCCTGCTTTTAACATTTCTGTCATGATCCCATCAGTTCCAGCTGCTTTAATACCCCCTTTCATTCTACGTAATGCCTCACGTACCTCCCCCACACTTACATTCTGCTCTTCTTCACTCCTAAAAGATGGTATACCTCCCTGACCAGTGCATGAAATTACTGCCTCTTTTTCCTTCTGTGAACCATTAACTAATATTTTTAATTTATCTCTTCAAACAGGTGTAGTGTGGAAGATGGCTAACGTAATTCCTATTTTTAAAACAGGGGACAAGTCGTTACCGTCAAATTACCGCCCAATAAGCCTGACCTCAATTGTAGGCAAATTACTAGAGTCAATTATAGCTGAGATTATAAGAAGCCATCTCGATAACATAGCTTGATTAATGATACTCAGCATGGATTCACAAGAGGCCGGTCTTGTTTAACTAATTTATTAACTTTCTTCAGCAAAGCTTTTGAGGCTGTTGACCACGATAAAGAATTTGATATTATTTACTTAGATTTTAGTAAGGCTTTTGATAGAGTTCTGCACCAAAGACTGTTAAAGAAATTGGCAGCTCATGGCATTGGGGGAAGGGTGCTCTCGTGGATCGAATCATGGCTCACAGACAGGAAGCAGAGTGTGTCCATAAATGGGGTTAAAATCCGAGTGGGAATCAGTAACAAGTGGCGTTCCACAGGGATTAGTCTTGGCCCGTTGTTGTTTATAATATATATCAATGATCTTGATGAAGGAATTACTAGTGATATGAGCAAATTCGCCGATGACACAAAGATAGGTAGGATAATTGATTCAAACGTAGATGTTAGGGAACTTCAGAAAGATTTAGACAAACTCTATTCTTGGTCAGAAAAGTGGCAGATGCAGTTCAATGTAGATAAAATGCAAGGTTCTGAAGCTCGGGAGTGTCCATAACCATAGAAACTTATAAGTTAATAATGTAGAACTTAGCCATACAGATTACGAAAAGGACTTGGGGGTTATGGTAAGCAGCAACCTTAAACCAAGACAGCAATGCCTAAGCGTACATAATAAGGCAAATAGATTACTGGGATTTATATCAAGAAGGGTAAGCAAGAGAAGTCCAGAGGTCATACTGCAGCTTTATACATCATTAGTAAGGCCTCACCTAGATTATGCAGCTCAGTTCTGGTCTCCATATTACAGAATGTACATAAATTCATTAGAAAACATTCAGCGTAGGATGACTAAATTAATACATAGCATTAGAAATCTTCCTTATGGAGAGAGATTGAGGACTCTTAAGTTACATTCACTTGTTAGACGAAGAATGAGGGGAGACCTGATCAAAGTGTATAAGTGGAAGATAGGCATTAATAAAGGGGATATTAATAAGGTCTTGAGGATATCTCTCCAAGAGAGAACCCGCAGTAATGGATTTAAATTAGACAAGTTTAGATTCAGAAAGGACATGGAAAGTATTGGTTTGGAAATAGGGTAGTTGATGAGTGGAACAGTCTACCTAGTTGGGTTATTGAGGCTAGGACTTTGGGAAGTTTTAAATTTAGGTTGGATAAGTACATGAGTGGGAGGGGTTGGATTTGAGTGGGACTTGCACATCAGGGCTTATTTCTTGGGAAAGCACTGAAAATTGGGTTGGGCAAATGTTTTGTTAGTGGGATGAATTGTAAAGGACCTGCCTAGTATGGGCCAACAGGCCTGCTGCAGTGTTCCTCCTTTCTTATGTTCTTATTTAAAAGTTCCTCAAAATATTCTCGCCATCTACCTAATACCTCCATCTCCCCATCTACTAACTACCCCTACTCTGTTTTTTAACTGACAAATCCATACTTTCCCTAGGCTTTCTTACTTGTTTAACTCACTCTAAATTTTTTTTCTTATTTCATTAAAATTTCTTGGACAGTGCCTCCCCCACTCTTTTCATCTGCTCTCCTTTTGCACTCTCTCACCACTCTCTTTGCCTTTCTTTTACTCTCCATATACTCTGCTCTTCTTATAACACTTCTGCTTTGAAAAAAACCTCCCCATAAGCTCCCTTTTTTTCTCTTTTATCACACCCTTTACTTCATCATTCCACCAATCACTCCTCTTTCCTCCTGCCCCCACCTGGAGTTTACCTGGAGAGAGTTTCGGGGGTCAATGCCCCCGGGGGCCCCGGGTTTCTGTGACCGGGCCTCCTGGTGGATCAGCGCCTGATCAACCAGGCTGTTGCTGCTGGCTGCACGCAAACCAACTACGAGCCACAGCCCGGCTG